CTCTAAACCCCAAGCCCAAGCCCCCTAGAGCCAGGAAAGGGAGGGAGCAGGAGAGACGATTGATGGCACCTAGCAACAATACTACCTCTAAACAGGGTGAGATGTTGAGATGCTCAAGTCCAGAGTGTCAATTACTTCTTTGAGGGTAACATTAACCTCTGATGTGAGCTACCAGGGGGTCTTACCCCCCTGTGTGAAAAATAACAGTGACTTACATTGGTCGTCAAATCCGCTAACCTCTGTGTGGGAGAGAAACATGGCAGTCTGCTTCTGTAAAGATTCAAAAAAACAAACTCAGTGCCATTGAATCGGATCTGACTCATAGCGACCCCTCCTTGGGTTTCTGAGGCGGTATCACTACGGAAGTAGATTGCCCAACCTTCCTTAGCTTTGGAAACCCAATGGGGCAGTTCTACTCTGTCCTGTAGAATCACTGTGAGTTGGAATGGACTCGATGGCAGCAGACTTCGTTTGGATTTGGTACGTTGGTTGAATGCTTGTTCTGTAATGTGTACTGGGTACTTTTATATAGGGAACTCACTTCATTCTTACAACTTGAGCAAGACAGTGCACCCATTGGCAACAGTACAGTGTACGCATGCAAGCCGGTGATCTTGCGAACCCAAGTCACACCTCTGCGACCCTGGAATAGTTGCTCCACCTCGGAGTCTGTTTCCTCATTGATAAAATGGGAATAATCTGGCACCAACCTAGTAAGGTGGTTGTGGGGGTGGGATTCAATGAGTGCATGCATGGGAAATATTGAGCAACATACCCCAATGGGTAAGTTCTTCAGACATGCTAGCTATTAATAAAACTATTACTACCACTGTCAACATTTTACAGATGAGGAAACTGAGGCTTGGAAAGTTTGAGTGATTTTGGCCAAGGCCACACAATTAGAATTGCTGTGTAGGAAGTCTGACCCAGAAGTTAACACTCTTACCCATCCTGGGAGAGGATGTTAATGAGGCTCCGAAGTTAATCAGGAGAGAGTCAGCTTGGGCTAAGGCAGGGGAGAAGGGGTTCTGTGCACACAGCTGCCGTGTGCTGCATTCACTCTAGGCCAGTGAACTGCTGTTCCTGTGATTATGTTTCTCCTTCACAAAGCTCACAGTAGACCATGCCTCCTTCTCTATGTGGAGAGCCAGGTCGAGCTGCATTTGCTCACAGCACTTCCTCAGGGGTGCACTGGTGATGCCTAGGTCATAGTACATAGTACATGGAAATCCCCCAACTCCACCAGCTCCTACATCTCGCATGTTTGACCCCCACCTCTCCATCATACCAGTGGCCAAGGGAGTGGCTGTGTATAGGTCATTTCATGTGGTTAGTTGCCTTGGTGTTGGCTCTGACTCATGGCGACCTTGTGTACAACAGGAGACGTTGTCCTGTCCTGCCCCATGTTCATGATCATTGGCATGTTTGAGTCCATTGTTGTGGCCGTGTCAATCCATCTCATTGAGGGTGTCCCTCGTTTTCACTGACCCTCTGCTTCACCAATCATCTCATCCAAAATCCATTGTCAGTGAGGGGGTTCCAAGTCTTCGTGACCCTATAGGACAGAGTAGAAGTGCCCCATAGGGTTTCCAAGGTTGTGATCTCTATGGAAGCAGACTGCCATACCTTTCTCCCATGGAATAGCTAGTGAGTTCAGGCGGAGTGTGAACTCATTGATAAAATGGGAATAATCTGGCATTATTCATTAACTAATGAAACTGTCTTGAGACTTAATTTCCGTGCCATCTTCTGTTGGTGGGTCCTTTATGCTGTTGGCTTTTTTTTTCTTTTTTTTTTTTTTGGTGTTTAATGTAGTTCCATGAACAGCTGTGGAGGCTTTCGCTGTTAGCTGCCAGTGACTCACCTCCAACTCATAATGACCTGTGTCCAACAGTACAAAACATTGGCCAGTTCTGCACCATCTTCATGGATTGTTAGGATGTTTGAGTCCAGTTGAGGTTTTTAGCACTTCTCTTCCTTATTAATATAGAACACAGTGCAGGTCTGCTCTGCACACATGAGGTTGCCATGAGTCCGAATTGACTCAATAGCAAGTAACAGCAACAAAGTATAGTTAGGGTGTTGGATGGAGGAGTGGTTCCCCAGGGTAGATGGGGTGATGATGGTGGAAGTTGTTGCCGTTTGGATGTGCCATTCTAAAGCGACACAGGATACAAACTCAGATACTCAAGCCTCCCTTTCTACCTTTCTTGTTCATCCAAGACACCCCTCTCGGGCATCGTTCATACCTATCTACTCTCTTATGCATCCCCTCATCACCCATTTATTAACGTGCTGTGGGCTGAGCCCTTGGCTGGCTTCTGGGGACATAGAGAGTAGTCCCTCAGCCTCTCTGCCCTTGAAGCTTTTCTGGTCTTGTTGAGGACTGATTTAAAATGATTAATCAATCCCAGAATATTGGCTTTCTCCAGAAGCTGCTGTAGAGAAAAAGAAGATAATTATCCAAAGTCTTTAAATCTGTTACCAACTTTAATTGATTTAATGAGGTAAAATTCATAGAAGTGTAATGTTGGAAGGGGCCCAGAAGGCATTTATTCCTGTTTCTTTTCTGTGCCTTTAGGCAATGATGCCTTCAGATTATCCCAGAAACCCATTCATTGTGGAAAAGAGCCGCATTTCGAAGAACTATCACTTTTGGCCCATTCAGATAAAACTTATCATTCACTGAGCATCCACAGGGGAGACGCTGTGGACTTGCTGAGAGTTGACATGCACCACTGTTGAGTATTGTTCTGAAAGACACTAGGGAAGTCACTTATCCCTTTTCATACACACAGGTGCATGCATGTGCATGCACACACACACGTACACACATGTCCCAGAAGTAGAGGCTCTGTAACATGCACTAGTGGAATCAGAGTAAATGCACAGAGTAAACATGGAACACACAATGAAAACACGGCTGTAGTTGTTAAGGATCTTTTGAGGATTCTTTCAGTCCCCCCCCCCCCAAAAAAAATGTTATTTGTCAGCATCCGTCACATCCTGTTTTGCTGGAACACAGAGGCATGCCTTCTGTTTGGTTGGTATTTTTGCATCATGCCAATCAGTTAGCAACATGGTTCAAGCATCTGCTCCGTGTGGATCTGACAGAATCCCAAGAAAGCCGTGGTTGTGAGTTAGAAAGGGGGCTGCATGTGCACACACACAGCCTGGCTCACTCACATCCTAGCTGTGTGACCATTGGGAGCCTCGTTTTCCCCAGTTTCATAGGGTTGTTGTGGGCATTTGGTGAGTAAAGCAGTATGAAGGTAGTTTGCAAATGGTACACTGTGCATTGCCTGCCTTTTCTAAATGATGAGTATGTGTCTGCATGATCATAGACTCACAGAGATAACAGGACTCTTACCAGAAAACCAGTTGACGGTGAGTCGAGTTGGACTCCTGGCGACCCCATGTGTATCAGAGTCAAACTGTGCACTGGAGGGTTTTCAAGGGAGATTTTTCACAAGTAGATCATCAGCTTTTCTTCTGAGGAACCTCTGCGTGGACTCAAACCTCCAGCCTATTGGCTAGCAGCCAAGCACATTCACCAAGTCCCTGGGTGACACAAACGGTTAACATGCTTGGCTACTAACCAAAAGGTTGGACATTCAGGTGCACCCAGAGGCACCTTGGAAGAAGGGCCTAGCAACCTAGGTCTGAAACACTATCCATTGAAAACCCTAAAGAACAAAGTTCTACTCTGACACACATGGAGTCACCATGAGTCAGAATCAACTCAGTGGCCACTGGTATCATTAGTACTGTTGAACTAAACCTGTTGCTGTCGAGTCAATTCTGACTTATAGAGACCCTACGGGACAGAGGAGAACCACCTCATAGGGTTTCCAAGGCTGTGATCTTTAAGGAAAGAGACTGCTACATCTTTCTTACATGGAGTGGCTGGTGCATTGAACTACTGACCTTTCAGATAGCAGCCAAGTATTTTAACCGTTGTGCCACCAGACCTCTCTGTTAGGACTATTAGAAGTCCTCTAACTGAATGTGAGTCACTTTCCAGTGCAAGAGCCTTCAGAGGTCTCCTGATTAGGTTCAAGGTAGAGTCCCAGCCTCTGTCCATATCCTCCATGGCCCTACATGCTGAGCTCCTGCCAAGTTCTTCAACATTATCTCCCCCTTTCTATTTCATGAGCCACAATCCATTTATCTCCAGTTCCTGGAGCAGTCAAAATGTAGCCTGAGGACCCTCTGGCTGTAATGTCCACCGATTTCCCTTCTTCCTCACCTGGATCCTCCCTCAGCATCCCCTGATGGCCCCATCAGCCACCAGTCATGAAAGCCCCTTTGCTTCCAGTTCCCTTCAGATCCAGGAAAGCAAGGACCATGTCTGCCTCAAATGTCACCATACTCTCAAGGTTCCAAATAGTCTTGGCGCATAGTTAAGTGTTTAGTGAATATTTGTTAATTGCATGGATGAATGTTCATATAGCATTTGTTATACTCTGTAGTACACAGGAATCTTCAGTTCAAGCAATACATGGGAACTTACTGGCTCGTGTAACCCAAAGGCCCAGGATGAATGGCCTCAGGCATGGCCAGTGCCAGGTGCTCCAGTTGTGCCCTCAGGAATCTGTCGCTCAAGTCCTGATGCTGGTTTTTTTTTTTTTTTTCTGTCTTAGTTTCATCTTCAGGTCTTGAGGCGAGGGACTAGACAGAGTTTGTTCTATTGGAACCGTATGGATACAAAGTAGGAGGTGGAATGAATGAGAGGAGAATTTAAAGAATCAATAATGGACAGGAAAAATACCAGATGGCCATCACCTTACTGCGCTGTGTGTTTCTGAGTATAGGGACCTCACTAATCTCTGTATTTCCAGTATCTGGCGTATAGTAGGTATTCGTTTGTAGATGAATAGATGTGTGATTGATCTTCCTTCGCTTCTAGGATGAATCTCATTCAGGCTATAGAAACAGATGCTTATGTGTGAATTGCCTTCTGCCTCATGCTGTTTCACTTTCTCTCTACCTGTTGGCAGGATCCAACGTCTACCTTCTTCCAGTTTGGAGCATCCATCCAGCAGCAAGCCACAGTCATGCTGAAGATCATGCAGGATTACGACTGGCACGTCTTCTCCCTGGTCACCACCATCTTCCCTGGCTACCGGGACTTCATTAGCTTCATCAAGACCACAGTGGACAACAGCTTTGTGGGCTGGGACATGCAGAACGTGATCACGCTGGACACTTCCTTTGAGGATGCAAAGACTCAAGTCCAGTTGAAGAAGATCCACTCTTCAGTCATCTTGCTGTACTGTTCCAAAGACGAGGCAGTCCTCATCCTGAGTGAGGCCCGCTCCCTGGGTCTCACCGGGTACGACTTCTTCTGGATCGTCCCCAGCTTAGTCTCTGGAAACACAGAACTCATCCCCAAAGAGTTTCCTTCAGGACTCATTTCGGTCTCCTACGATGACTGGGACTACAGCCTAGAGGCAAGAGTGCGGGACGGCCTGGGCATCCTCACCACTGCCGCCTCCTCCATGTTGGAGAAGTACTCTTACATCCCCGAGGCCAAGGCCAGCTGCTACGGGCAGACAGAGAAGCCAGACACCCCACTGCACACTTTGCACCAGTAAGTGGGAACTCTTTGCGTGTCTCTCTCAAGTATTGTTGTTTGTTTAATAAGAGCGGCATTTGTTTAAATGAGAACGAATCAGAGTTTAAATACGAGTTGTTGTTGTTAGTTGCCATTGAGTCCATTTTTGACTCACAGCAAGTCCACGTGATAGAGTACAACTGCCCAGAGGATCTTCTCTGTAATCTTTCGGGGAGCACATAGCCAGGCCTTTTGCTGCAGAGCTGCTGGGAGGGTTCACACCACTAACCATTCTGTTACCAGCCAAGCCTCCTCAGATAAAAATAACACATACTTATCACTGACTGCATCCTGAAAATAGAGTGGTGTGTGGATACTTAGGGGACTTTTGGTTTAGTTTTTGCCCTTCTCCCCTTCTGTTCTGAAGATAGGTAACACTATATGATAATTGAGAGCTCTGATGGCGTGGTATCTGAGTCATTTGACTGCTAACCTGATGGTTGGCAGTTCAAATCCACCAGCCACTCCATGGAAGGAAGGAACCTGATGGGGCAGTCTACTTCCTCTCGGCAACCCAATGGGGGTCACTATGAGTTGGAATCAACTCGATGGCAGTGACTTTTTTTTTAATATTATAATTGCTTTCTGTAACTTACTTACTTGACTCAACAATGTGCCTTAGAAACCTACACTCAACATAAAAACATATATTAATGATATTCTCTGCCATCTGCACATCAGGCCCCTCAATGTGGGTATCCTGTGATTTTCTTACCCAGTCCCATGATTGCATGGAGGAGATTTCTGGTTGTTTTCCTACAAGCTAAGCTACACCAATGATCATTACACATACCTCTTTGTGCACGTGTGCAAGTGTTCCCGCAAGGTTCATTTTAAGAAGGAAATTTTGGGGTTCTATAAAATCAAGAACCCACTGCCATTGAGTCAGTTCCGACTCAGCAGAACTGCCCCATAGGGTTTCCAAGGCTGCCAGTCTTCATGGAAGCAGACTGCCTCATCTTTCTCCCAGCTGGTGGGTTTGAATCACTGACCTTTTGGTTATCAGCAGAATGCCTTAAGCACTGAACCACTAGAGCTCCTCATTGGGTTGCAGACTATGTGCATTTCTCAATTTATGTATTTATTGCCAAATTGCCCACAAATCAGCTATGCCAATTTTTTTTTTTGTTGTTGTTGTTATGTCCTATTGAGACGGAGCCAACTCATAGTGACCCCTCCTTGAGTTTCCGAGGTGATATCACTACGGAAGTAGATTGCCCAACCTTCCTTCTGAGGAGTGGCTGGTGGGTTTGAACTGCCAGCCTTCTGGTTAGCAGTCAGGTGCCTTAGGCACTACACCACCAGAGCTCCCTATACCAGTTGATAGTATAGTATAATGTACAGTAAGGAGCCCTGGTGAGGCAGTGCATAAGTGCTTTGCTGCTAACTGAAAAGTTCAAACCGTTAAGTGACTTTGTAGGAGAAAGACCTGGCTTCTGCTCCCATAAAGGTTGCAGCCTACAAAACCTGATGGGGCAGTTCCACCCTCTTCTGTTGTTGTTGCTATGTGCCGTGGAGTTGGACCGACTCATAGTGAGTGACCCTTCTTGGGTTTCCAAGGTGGTATCACTATGGAAGTAGATTGCCCAACCTTCCTTCTGAGGAGTGGCTGGGGTTTGAACTGCTGGCCTTCTGATTAGCAGTCACATGCTTTAGGCACTACACCACCAGAGCTCCTGTTCTAGAGGGTTGCTATGAGCCAGAATCACCTTGGCAACACCCAACAGCGTGTTACAGTGGTTCCGGGGCAGAATTCTCGCCTTCTGTGCAGGAGACCACTTGTCTCTCAGTGGAGACTTGCGTGTTAGGATGATGCTGAACAGGGTTTCAGTGGGGCTTCCACACTAAGACAGACCAGGAAGAAAGGGCTGGCAGTCTACTTCTGAAATTCATCCAGTGAACACACTGTGGATCACAATGGTGTCTTGTTGTGGACCACTGTGATTCCCCACTGTGTGTGTGAGTGGAGTCACCATGATCTGACGGCTGCCTCTGTGGTCACTGGCCACACCAGTGATGAGATACACCATATACAGTGTTACAAAACCAAGCCGACTGTGAAAGTAGTCCTCCTGCGTCTTCACCAATATACCACACTATTTTCCCCACCCCGGTGCTCTCGTATCTGAATTTCTTCTTTCTTTTATCCTACGTAGTTTTATAGGTCACTGGAAATGTTGGCAGACACCACTCTCGGACTGCACTGTATTCCATCATACGACCGTGTCATCATTTCCTTGATGCCGCCTGCCTTGGCAGACGCTGATGTTAACATTTGTTTCTGAGGAGGGTCTGTGCTCTTGTGGGCTGTGTCCCTGCTGGGCTGCTTACATGTAGAGTCTTCATTCCCACACCCATTCCCTAAGTTTTTGCCTGACGTTCATTGACTTCATCCATGCCCATTCCTGGGATAACAAGCAGTATAGCCCTGTGGAGAAGGGACTGGGTCCGGAGTGAGGCTTGTCTGTGTTCTCATCTTGTCTCATTCACTGTCTGCGTGACTTGAGCAGTCAGGTGACCTTTCTGGGCCTCACGGGTTCATTTGTGACACAACCTTTTAAGCAGTGGCTCTCCAGCATTAGTGTGCTCAGAATCCCGGATGGCGAAAACTTAATAAAAACAGATTGCAGGGCCCCGGACTGTTTCAGATTCAGGGGATCTGGGGTCAGGCCCAAGAATCTTCATTTCCAGCAAGTTCCCAGGTGATGCTGAGGCTGCTGGTCCAGGAATGCACTTTGAGGCCTGATGTCCTAGGGTTGCCGAGGGTGTAGAAGGAGGTGATGTGTGAAAAGTGCTGCTTCGAGCTGTGCCCAGCACCTGGTAATCATTTAATAACTGTCAGCACTGTCAGCAAAGGTGTCTTTGGTCTTTAGAAATTACAGTCTGCAGAGAAGCCTGACTCAATTGCCACAAGTGTCCTAGCACTCTCAGATGTCTCTGGAAAAACTTAGGACTTAGACTGTGCTATGTTCAGAGGTGATCTCTAGGGTGGGGGGCTGGAGATGTGTGTAAATGTGTGTGTGCACATGCACACATGCACAGGCAGATTATGTTCTTGTTCGGTGCTGTTGACTCAGGTCCTGACCCATAGCAACCCCGTGTCACAGAGTAGAACTTCTCCATAGGGTTTCCTAGGCTATGGGCTTTACACAGGAGTGGATTGCCAGGTCTCTTGCCCACAGAACTTCTGGTGTGTTCGAAGCACTGACTCATCAGCCAGCAGTAGAGTGCTTAATGATTGTGCCACCAAACACCAAGCTCACTGCCATCACATTGATTCTAACTAATAGCAACCCCCTTTGGGTTTACAAAGCAGTAGGTCTTTATGAAAGTACATTGTCCAGTCTTCCACGGATGGCTAGTGGGTTTGAACTGCCAACCTTCTGGTTAGCAGTCAAATGCCTTAGGCACTACCCCACCAGAGCTTCTTATCGTGCCACTCTGGCTCCTTTACACCTTCTTTCAACTCATACCAAACTCCACTGCTAACAAGTTGATTCCGACTCATAGTGACCCTGTAGGACAGAGTAGAACTGCCCCGTAGGGCTTCTAAGCCTGCAAATCCTTACGGAAGCAGACTGCTTCATCTTTGTCCCACAGAGCAGCTGGTAGTTTTGAACTACCAGCCTTTTGTTTTGCAGTCTAATGCTTTAGCGACTATGCCACCAGAGCTCCTTCCATTGATAAACACATCTGAAAAAAGAACCCTTGAATTCTTAAGGAATCATACTCCTTCGAAACCTTCCCTTCCCACATGCTCTTCCCCTCCCTAACAATCCTGTCTCCACATCGCCACTTTGGATATCTTAAATAATTGCCCAGATATCAGGGAGGAAGTCAAATAAATCCGTAGAGACATGAGATTGTTTTACCGAGGCAGCAATGCTGCCAACCTGAAGACAAGGGCTGGGCTAATGAATTCATCCTCCCATAACAAGATGTGCCCTGCAGCTGGAATATTCAGAATTGTATAATGCTGATGGGAACATAACTCAATTTCAGGGCAATTGAACTATAATATATACAGGAAAAGGCATTTGAGAGGGACAGTTGGCAAGGCATTCAGCTCTCTTTCCAGTGACCACCCTGAATTCTAGCCTTTCAAAAAGAAAAAAGAAAAAAAAAATCCGGCTGCTGTGAAATGCTGTTGAGCTATTTCCAGAAGTTATCCCTTTGAATGCAGCAGTTTTGTAAATGGCATTTCAGTCTCAGAGAGGCAGTGCATCAAGTGTGCTAAGTCGTCATCCACTGGGTGTTTAATGAAACATCTCTTCATCCACGGAGGGCGTGAGCTTGGAATGGCCCAAGCAATTGCTCATTGCTATGCTCCCCACCACCAAGGTGTGCCTTAAAGCCATCCCTGGAAAGACTAGAACTCTGCTGCGTTCTCCTTGGCTGGAGCTGGACAAGGCCAAGACCAAAAGAAAGCAGTTTTTGGTTTTGTTTTCAAGGAAGAAGGATACTGTATCTTTTTGTCCTTCCATCCATCCTTTCTTCTGTCCAGCACAGCCGTGCTAGCCCCTGAAGTACACAGATTAATGAAGACATACTTCTGTCCTCAGTGTGTGGTATTGTGAGGCTGGGGGAAGTTGGTCTGAAGACAAACTTGGGTAACAAAAATTCTTCTTTCTAAATTGAGAAAAAGAATAGCACAAACTAGTTGTTGTTGTTATGTGCCATCGAGCCGGCCCCAACTTAAAGCGACCCCTCCTTGGGTTGCCAAGGCAGTATCACTACGGAAGTAGATGGCCCAACCTTCCTTCCGAGGAGTGGCTGGTGGGTAGAGAGTCAAAAACCCCAAAAAATCCTCCCCTCTACTCCCCAGGAGAACAGACACAGATTAATATGTCCTGTTTGTTCTTAAATTGTACATAAAGTGAAACACTGATGTAGAAGACCTGATGATACCATTTCCCAAACCCAGTGTTCTCCCTTTCTCTCAATGAAGGGAAGACACTGATGAATTTGGTAGGTAT